TCTTGATTGGAGAATTTCTCGGTTTTCTCCCTCCTTGTGCCTGTCCTCAGTGGGTGACAGATACTCCTCCTACCCCCATCCCAGGCTGTCCAGTCAGAGCCCAGAGGCAGCTCACCTTGGCCCCCTCCTCATGCCAATCTCCACCCACCAAACCCAGACCACACAGACTCCAGCAGTTTCTCCTGATTCACTTCCACGTCCATCTCCCGTCCCCTGACTTGGTTCAGAGCAGCCTGTCCCTGCCTCTGGGACACCACGGCCTCCTGACCGACCACCCCCTCCGGTCTCTGCCCTCAATATCCAGTCCCCTGACCCACAGTGGGCTTTCACGGGCACTTTGGCCATGAACTTCCTCTGGCCTCAGGAGCAGGACACACACTTGGGCAGCTCTCAGGCCCTTCCTGACCCTCACTCTCCTCACCATCACTGGGCTCTGACCCTGAGGCTGATCCAGTGACCTGTCCATCCCTCCCCATGTCTCTGCTCCTTGGCACGTCAGGGTCTCTCTGCCCAGCCACCTCCCCACACCCAGTCTTCATCTCCCCTTCCCTGTCAGTCTCCCCCCTGCTGGAGGCCACCCTCACTGCCCCAGCCTGGCTCAGCTGCCCCTCTCTGGTCCCTGGGCCTGAGACCCCACTTCCCCTGCAGGGATCATGCTGTGCTGTGTTCCCTGGGCCTGTCTGTGCCCCCTGGGCTGGGAGGTCCGTGCAGGAGCATCCTACGTGCTCGACCCACCTTCCTGCTCCTCTGGGATCCAGCAAAGGGCTTGGCATGGATGGGGCAGGAGAATTAGACAAGGAAGAGGGACAGAGGATCAGCAGTGCCAGGACTCCTGCCCAGCTCCTCCTCGTCTCAGCCTGAGGCGGCTACGTCAGCCAGGACATCCAGGGCCAGAGACGGTCTCCATGTGGGGATAACAAGGGAACTTTTAGCTCTAATGCTAAATGTCTACAACTACAGTCAGGGCACTGTCAACAGTAGCTGGTGGCTGAAGAAATGTGATCTTGGGCCCTAACAACTACAGTCAGAGCACTGTCAACAGTTGCTGGTGGCTGAAGAAATGTGATCTTGGTTCCTACCCGGATAAAAAAATGGCTTTGTAGTTAACAGAGCCCTGATTTGCATCATTAGCAATAAAGCTTTTCCCCAGAATCACACCATGCGCACACAATGGAATGTCCTCCGCAACTTGCAATACATTTCCAAAAATTGTTTCATTTCCAGTAATAGCCAGAGTCCAACTGTTGCTTTTCAGCTACACACCTCTTGGCTCAGTCTGTCCTTTCTTGGAGCTTCTGAGATTGACAATCTGGGCCGATGGGAGAGGAGAGGTCAGGGTTTAGAATGCTGGAATTAGAATGCACGTTGCAAGGCAGGACAAACCTGTAGAGGAAATAGAAACCAGAAAGGACTGCGGCCAAGAAGGGACCAAACCCCACTCAGCAGCAGAAACAGACAATGTGGGGAATCACTCAACGCCCAAGACCCAAGTCCCCTCACAGGCCCACCCGTGGCTTCTGCCCCAGCTGTGTCTGACGAGTAGGCCCCAGGCTCGGGCAGGTGCAGTTTCTGTAACCCCAAAACTGCCTCCCACATGGTGGTCCCAGGCTTCCCCATTATGCCAGATATAGAGTAGAGGCCGACTCTGTCTGAAGCCTCACAGTCTACCAGGATAAACGAACTTTTAAATGACAAATGCAGTTGGCCTATGAAGGATGGATACAGATAGAGAAGCCTTCTGAAGACGAGCTCTGGAGTTAAGTGCTCCCAAAGGCCAGGAGCCCAGAATGAGGTGGTTGACGGACGGGAGTCTCCCGCCCACTGGAGAGTGAGTTATGGAAACTTCCAGGGGACTTACTGGAGCCACCTGAAAGGCGGGGCAGTGCCTGGTGCTCTGTGGCTCGTGGACGAGCTTGTGGACCGAGGTTGAGAATTTCAGTTTCATTGTCCTCCGGATCCTATTCAAAAAGGATTTAAAGAGTAAACTTTTTTAAGAGAATCAACTCTTTAAAAACTACATGCATTCTCTGAGTGGAAAGGGTAATGGTGACCGACATGAAAACACGGACTCGGTGGTGCTTCAGAGCCACGTGAGGAGCAGCCGGAGTCGGAGGGCAGCCCTGCGTCCCTGCCCCTGCTGGAGAAATCAGTGGTCACTCTGACAAGGACGCTGTGCAGCTGTTCCTTCCACAGGAAATGGAAGCATTTAGAGGCAGGGAGGTATCAACTCCCAATGCACCACATGGGTCCTTGTCTCCCAACATCCTCGGGAAGTATTGGGCAGAAGCCATGGGAGCAGGCCAGCAGAGCTGCCTCACTGCACAGGATGCCCTGGAAGTGGTGGGCACCTGAGGCCATGTGGGGCAGGAACTCCTTGCCCCATCAGGATGCACTTGGCTGCAAGAAGCAGAGCGAAACTAAAAGAGGCTTCAGCAGCCTGGACACTCATTGTCTCCATAACACGTAGATGGAGCAGGGACTCAGGTTTGGTTCAGGGGCTGAGCAAGGCCTCCAGGGACCTGGGCTGTTTCCACCACACTGATTCTGTGCCTGCAGTGCTGCCCTGCATGTCACTCTATGGCACTAAAACCCCAAATGGTTTGTTTTCACATGGCAACGTCCAAAAGAAGGAGAGGAAGACGTGTCTCACCGTCTGTTTCTTTTGTCAGGGAGTGAATCTTTCCCACGAGCCCCTGGCTGACTGGATCCCTCTGTTCAGTGACCAAACTGGTTCACATTTCCACACCGAAACCAATCATGAGCAAAGGGGAAGGGGCCACCCTGGCCGGCTCAGAACCCCCCAGTGCATCACCTGGACCTGAGGTGGGGCTCATGCTGCCCATGAACATCAGGGCTCCATAAGCCCAGGAGCAGGTGACATTGGCGACTGTGTGTGTAGAGGTGGCTAAGCTCCTGCTGGAGAAATCAGTGGTCACTCTGACAAGGACGCTGTGCAGCTGTTCCTTCCACAGGAAATGGAAGCATTTAGAGGCAGGGAGGTATCAACTCCCAATGCACCACATGGGTCCTTGTCTCCCAACATCCTCGGGAAGTATTGCGCAGAAGCCATGGGAGCAGGCCAGCAGAGCTGCCTCACTGCACAGGATGCCCTGGAAGTGGTGGGCACCTGAGGCCATGTGGGGCAGGAACTCCTTGCCCCATCAGGATGCACTTGGCTGCAAGAAGCAGAGCGAAACTAAAAGAGGCTTCAGCAGCCTGGACACTCATTGTCTCCATAACAAGTAGATGGAGCAGGGACTCAGGTTTGGTTCAGGGGCTGAGCAAGGCCTCCAGGGACCTGGGCTGTTTCCACCACACTGATTCTGTGCCTGCAGTGCTGCCCTGCATGTCACTCTATGGCACTAAAACCCCAAATGGTTTGTTTTCACATGGCAACGTCCAAAAGAAGGAGAGGAAGACGTGTCTCACCGTCTGTTTCTTTTGTCAGGGAGTGAATCTTTCCCACGAGCCCCTGGCTGACTGGATCCCTCTGTTCAGTGACCAAACTGGTTCACATTTCCACACCGAAACCAATCATGAGCAAAGGGGAAGGGGCCACCCTGGCAGGCTCAGAACCCCCCAGTGCATCACCTGGGCCTGAGGTGGGGCTCATGCTGCCCATGAACATCAGGGCTCCATAAGCCCAGGAGCAGGTGACATTGGCGACTGTGTGTGTAGAGGTGGCTAAGCTCACATGGTGTCTTCTCATGAGCCCAGAAGCTCCTTGAGGTCAAGAACTCTGTCACATTCACCAATGTTCACCCTCCTCCTGTCACAAAAAGAGCCTTGAGCACATCAAATGATCAACACACATTTATGAAGTGAATGAGTCATGAAAGAGTGATGATGGGTGGGTGGAGATATTTGTTCTGCTGTGAGGTGCCCTCCCGCAAGAATGTGCTCACACGCCCCTCGTGCACAAAAGGAAGTTTATTCACTCCAGCTGCCCAGCGACTGTCTCTCAAGGAGCAACCAAGGGAGAATGGACCTGGGCCCTGTTCTTGTGGGGTTTTTAAAGGCAAAAAGCACCTCCCGTTGACACACGGGTTTGTCCAGGTGCACAAAGCAAGCTTGGGAGCTCGGTTACAGAAACCAAGAATGAGCCGCTCGAGCAATCAAGCGCACAGGTTTCCATTGTGTGTGGTTCCTGTTCCCATGTAATAGTTCACTGTGTGTGGCTCCTGTTTCTGTGATAAGGTCAACCGTTTCTCATGCAAAGGGGGGTTAGTCTGCAGGTCAGACAGGGGCAAAATGGAGTTACTTAGGTTAAGCAAGCAATTCTACAGAAGCAGATAGCGCACGTTATGAGGGTGTTCAAATCCATTTTAAATTCTTATCTGCTTTTATATAGAGGAACAGCACAATTTCCCAGGCAGAATTAAAGAAATCAGGCCAAGATGGAAGCAGTTGGAGAGACATTTCCCTCAGTTTGCCAGGGAAGGAAGAACCTGGGTTCTGGAAGCTCAGAAAGGGAGGACTTCTTTTGTTACCAGTGAAAGAGACTTCTAGAAATTTTTAGCTTTGCATATTTGAAATGTTGGAATTTACGTTTTGAATACTACGGAGGCTGTGCGGGAGAATTCCTGCATTCTCAGGTGGCGGCGGTCGTGTTCGTCTGACCAGTTGGGTAGACC